TCTTTGTTATCTCCATACATTTCATTATCATCTTATATGTCAATAGCTTACCTCGTTTTAGAAACTGTTCGTAAATAGAACATGCTCTCATGTATCGAATCAACTGGAAGACGTAAACTCTATTTGCAGGTGATAATGGTATATAAGGGAAGTGGACGAGAGAAAAGAGGAAGTCATAACGTTTGTCAAAGATTTTTGTTAGTTTGCCATAGTTGTCTTTCTCTAGTAAAATATCCAAAAAGTTGTAATATATCTAAACACATATAATGCTCTTATATTACATGTACATTTTGATTGCGTGCTCTTCCAGTGTTCGTCAGAAAAACACAAGAGAATTAAACGTTGGGAACCAAACCTTGTCATCGATCACCTCTTTTAAACTTTATATCACTCTGTTGGGATGATGATCATTTTTCAACGGGGTCAAAAAAAGTTTTTATAGGTTGCACATGTAGAAAATTGACACCTAAGGCTCTTTTTCTACACACCGGGCGCTAGGCGAAGGAACAGACACTACCTATGTTTACGACTTAGGTTTGACGCGGCGCAGCGAACGAGGATCGAACCCGGGCCTCCCGATCAGAAGCTAGTGCCCTACCACTAGGCTATAGTGACCGGCAGTGGCAATCTGAGAAATCCGCATAATTTTATACCCCTGAATTGAAAAAAAGGCGTTTGCGGGGAATTATGACCCCGTGGAAGAATATACGTTTACAGTACCCATATCACCTGCACATGGAGTTTGTCTCCCAATTGATTTGATAGGCAAAGAGCATGCTCTACATACGAACAATTTCTAAAATGAGGTAAGCTATTGACAAAGAAGTTGATGAAACGAGGATATTAATGGTCTAGTTTAAAGTCAGCATTTCGCAAGTTCTATGGTCAATTTAATGACCTTATCAGCAAATACAACTATCAGAGAGTTGAAAGCTAATTGACGTTTTTTATACTAATTGTTAGACCATTATTTACACTGAATTGTCCGAAACAGAAAATTCATTGTTTTGTTGTTGGATATAAAATTTATTTAACTCGTGAGCCATTTTTTTCTTCTTCAAATTTTCAATCGTGGTTTGCACTCGTGAATATGTAAGAATGAATTTTGTCGCACTAGTGAAATCCATATCCAACTACAAAATATTGAATATCTTCTATTTAATCTAGTACTTTTCAAGATTCTATATTCATTATTTAAACGTCTTCATTCACATACAACAAAAAATATTGAATATTCCTTTTTTCAGAAAAAAAAAGGTAAATTTTGTTTGATTTTTATCTTGTCCCTGTCGCAGTGTAGTTATCTATGATGTCATAATTGATTGGTTTTGAGAAGTCATATATGTACAATCAATATTTTGAGTTCACTAAAGAAAAATTATTTTTATTTCGTTGAACTTTTAAAAATATTTTAGAAGCAGACCGGAAACATTGATATTCTATATTCATCCGAACAAGTGTCTAAACGTGCATGTATATAAGGGTTCCTCCGTTATCTCATATTTACAGATATTTTTTCAAGGCAGCAAGGAAATAAGCAAAGCCACTCATCGGAAAAAAAAGATATTGTAACCATATATGTTTTGCTGATAAAAAAAATGATTTTTCCCCCTTTAATGTTGTAAATATTTTCGTGGGGAGTAAAGAAATAGGCTTGGTAGATCATTTACTGGAATCCCCTATCGTAGATGTTAAGGATTTATATGAAGTTTTGGAATTAAGTATACAAGTAGATAGGGTAATTCGCATAAAATCCTTACAAAGATGGATAGTGGGTTCTAGTAAATCTTCTACCAAGCCTCTCTCCTTACTTCTCGCTAAAATATTAACAGCAGTGAGGGAGAAACTTCAGAAGTATTATACAACAATATATTCGAGAAGTGGTGTTAATCAGTTTTACTGACGAAACTTTCAGAAAATTTTACCAAAATCAATAGCATCAAAAAGCACGCGCAGGTATATTAAGGCTGTACCCAGATAATTTTTTGGCGAATTTATACTTTTTTCGTAAAATGTAACATTCATAAATCGGAAAAGCCATAGATAAAGCATTTACTATTATTATCCATTGTATAGACGTGATTGAGTCTTAGGCTAAAAGAAGCAATCCACTACGACGTCATCACGTGATGTATATAAATAGAAAAATTGCCTTAAGTAAAAAAATTGAAAAGTTTAACACTACCCCGGGGATAATTTATTTCTTTTTGTGAAAAAAATTGTGTAGAAACATCATTAGGCCATGAAAAGTGCCGCTAGAATCCTACTCTCCCGAAACAGAAAAAGAAATCCAAAGTTTCGCATGAAACCTTTCCAAAATTTTCACATTTTGTACATACGATCAAGGAATTGTCATCAATTCATGTAACCACACGATTCTAGCAGCACTTTCCAAGTACTATAGAATACAAGCTTTAGATACAAACAAAAATTTTGGAACTTTTGACAGAGGAAAGGCTGATCGGGATTTCAAAACACTGCCTATGTTCATTATAAGAAAACTTGATAAGTATAAATCAGCATACCTGATTATTAATCTTTAAGTCCTTATGAATCACATATGACATTCACTGTAGAGCTTCAAAACTCTCATTTCATATATTTGATTACATAAATTCTTGTCACATTTATTTTCACTCGGCAAACATTTGATCAATAGCTATGACGTCATGGGTTTGGTATTTAACCCCTGTGATAAATACGTAGCTATTTATACCACCCAAAAACGGCAAGATTCAGTTTATATTATGTTTTTGAATGATTCCATTCACTCCTCTTGGACATGAAAGTAAACTTTAGATATGGATATTAAGAAATCAATATCTCTAAAGTTCACGTCCTACAGCTAACTATGACGTCATACTGTATAGGCAAGTAGGATATCTGAGTGCAGCCTTAACATACCAGCGCGACCCTTCAACAATTTATACATTTTCAATAAAAATGGAACTTCTAAGTCTAGTTACCTTGTCAATAGTTATTTCCAAAATTATTTTGTTAAAAAGCGTTCTGATTCTAAACACAAGTAGTCCAAAGTTGGCGCATAAAGATGCTTGAGTTTTTGCCTTGACAATATTTATGTACTTTTTGGATATCAAGTCTTTCAACGATCTGTCGGAATTCCCATGGGCACTAATTGCGCCCCGTTATTACTGATCATTTTTGTATTCATATGAAATAGAATTTATTCATAAAACTTCTACATGGAAAAAAGGTCTTTTGTTGTGGTCTTCAATTCAACAATTAGATTATCAATAAACAATATTCATTTTCATTCCCACATTGATTCGATATATCCGTTTCAACTCGAAATAATTTAATTCTGATTGCAACGCTGTATTTGATTGGATAAAAAATTTACTTTATATCGTATAAAATGGTTTGCCTACGTCACAATGACTTGCGTTAAAAACGTATCGATCCGCCTGACGTTACATTCAAATTTTGTACAAATTGAAGTCATTTTTTAAGGACAGTCATCTTTTTTCTTACACCAAATGAATGAAAATTAAATTATAAGTAATGAATTTAATAGATACCCATTTTATACGATATAAACTGGGTTGGAACAGTTTACGCTTTTTTATAAACCGCTTCGCGGTTTATAAAGCGTAAACTGCCCCAACCCAGTTTATATCGTATAAAATGGGTAGCTATTAAATTCATTCCTTAAATAAAATATACTACAGAGTCAGACACATCTGTTTCATATTTGGATATTTTACTAGAAAAGGACGCTAATGGTAACCTAACAATCAGACTTTATGATGAGAGGTCCCTGTTTGCTCTGCTCTCTGTTTGTATTGTTTCAATGGACGCTTGAGCTTGATTACTGTTTCTTATCTTCATATTTCATAGCAATTAAAATAAACAAAGCACGTAAAATGAATACATATCTGGGATCCTTCTCTATCAGTTAAAAAATAGAACAAAAAACAGGACGGATGTGGTTTGAATATTAGCTAATAAAAATGAAGAGTTCAAAAGAAATTAGAATTAATGCCAGTCTTTTATTATTATGCACAAATCATTTAGAATCGTAGATTTGATCTCAATCAAAGAATTTGGTCTTTAAAAATTATTCAGGAGCTTAGGTATATTACATTTTTTAAAGTCTCATACATCTAATAAATAATTGACATCCAATGTCAAAATGAAACAAAATACAAAATTTGTATTTTTATACCATTAAAAAATAAAGAGCTTTTAGGAAGAGGGGTTTTTAATCTGAAGAAGAAATGTTTCAGTTAAAAAGCGTTAATTAATATTTAATTGTGAACACAGGAAAGAAAAGGAAATAATTCTACTTTTTCATGTAACATAGAAAGTAATCGTCTTTGCTGTTTTATTTTATATTCCCATTTTTCTAAAACTGCTAATAAACTTTCCCTTATAAATATGTATTTCCCATAAACAGCATGAAACCTGGAGAATAGAAAATGCATTTCTCATATATCCAATAAAACTATTTCAATGATATATACTTTAAATACAATCAAGTCCATAACTTAAATGACAAACATGACGTGTGAAAATATAAAACAAAACTGTTCTTTTCTTTAAATCCACAGGAAAGACTAATTTTTCACAAGTAAATCTAATATCAATGTATTAAATTTAAAACAGCAATTATATCTAACATCCAAATAATTGTCAAGGTCTTATTTAACTTTGATTGTACATTACATGATATTAATTCAGACAGTTCTGAGCACTTCAAATCTTCGTCTTACAGTATTGGCACCATGTAGGGATGTCTGCTAGTTGTTGAAGGAGTTGTTAGGACTGTATTGTTCGATTCTTGTTTATGTTGACGGTAATAGACATACAGAGCAGTATATAATGAACTAACATACTGCAGTGCAAGAGGTAACTCTAACGAATCAATAACGTGTTATTGGGTATAATACATGCAGTACATTCTGAGCGGTTTGAGAAAAAAAAACAACTTAAAATCGTTGAAAGGCCTAAAATATTCATCTAAATGTGTCTGTGAACAATTAACTGAAGTAAAGTCTGTAGGTCAGTATTATAATTCTGATGATTGTAGCAGTTTGTATGCCATGGAGTGGATATTGTTTGAGTGATTGTTGGTAGGAATAAAAAGCAGCCTGGAGGTCACCTGTAATCTGTTGACAGATACCCAGGATCTGCCATGATATGTCTTTGTAAGCTTCAGGTAGATATATTAAGTGATCAGAGTGCACTAGGGTTTGTAATTTAGACAGAATTATTTGTGCTTTTACCGTGCTTAAATAAGAATGGCACAAAAATTCAAGAGCGTGGATAAGTACAACCGTTGGGATAAATAATGCTGTTTTATTGTTTTTAAAGCTACACAGCTGTTCTATCACTAATTCATTGATACAGTAGACGTCATTTTCAAGTGGTATAAAATTAAAAATTGTATTTCTCATCTTTGAAGACCAGGACTGACATCTTACATCCTCAGGCCCTTTAACGATGTATGTAAAATATAAAAACATCTGTTGTGGATGTGTTAACTTTGCAATTACCAATTCTATAATAGATAAAGCTTTTTTATATCTAAGTGTCTTACAATGATACATTGCAGCAAACAACATATCAGAAATAAAATTAAACTTTACTGCTAACTTAAGCATGTGGCAAGACAATTTGTCAGCAATGTACCTCCTTTTGTTAGAACCCGTATTAGTGTACATGCCGTGCAATACAAAAGCAGTTTTTCTCAGTACCAAGGCTACAAGTCTTTGTAAATATGGAACGTGATACTGCGTAAGGTGTGATTTTATCATCAACCGCTCTACTGCTTTCAGGGCTTTTACACTCTGCCTTAGGGTTGTGGTGTAACATAAATTAATTTTAATTAGCTCAGTAAATATTTCTGCATCAATTGTATATTCAGGAATTAAAGTCATTTCATTTGTACAAATAAATATTGTTGGATTACAAAGGGCATTTACAACACAGGATCTGATAGAAGGACTCTGTAAAAGGCATGCAATACCTCTCTCATATAATGTATACAAGCGTAAAAATAAAATCAATTGTGCTTCTCCATGGATTTTACTCAGAAACATGTTGTTCTGTGGAATGAAAAAGTTTGGACAAACCCCCTCATACACCCATTTAAGAATTATTTTAAAGCAGATCCAGAAGCCCTCAAGGAAAGTTTGTGGACACCAGTTAGACAATAAGTTTTGCTGAAGTACCCAGAAAACTGCTGTTTTCATGTGATAGGAACAAAGTAATTTTTCCTCACTACTTACATCATTGTTAATTACTTCTTTCAAATACACTTTCAATAAACCATAAGTTAAAAATTGAGAGTGGTTCATTGAGTAAGCAAGTTTTTGTTCTGCCACAGAAAAAGAAATTCTCCATTCTTTATCTTCATGATTACCTAGTTTGTGTCCTATTGCTACGAAATGACATCCATTTCTAACTACGTCACGGACAACTCGAAGATGAGGCCATGCATGACATCTGTCGATCCAAGAGGAGGCTAAGGGAGGCCAAAAGTCACTGACAAAACAGTCGGCAAGATCATATTCCTTTCCAAAAAAGTTCCCACTTCTGCATGGTCCATGTATATGTGTAGTGTAATCGGAGTATTTCAACGTAAACATGATCAATCTGTAAAACGAGCTAGATATATAAAGTCTGTCATTCATTTTGACACATGCACACCTAATATTTTTGTCAGCTCTTGGTGTAAGTAACCGGAGAAGAGTAAATCCTGGTGGGCTATCAGAGCTATCAGTAAGAATCAGTACTACTCTGGACAAGTTATAATGCCTAGACTGTGAAAAGTCCCAAATCACTCGATTGTTTTCACTCCAGGTCATCCTATCCTCATCAGACCCCAACAGTCTGAAACCCTCTCTTTTACTTCCGCTCAAAATCACAATGGACTGACTACTTATTTTCTGTGACATCATTTCACGGATGTCCGCAATATCCCGTCTCATGGCCACCTGTTGTGATGTTCCAACTATACGACACAGTCCCACAAACACAGACTCTGACATGTGTCGCATACCTGCCGTACTGCCAAAAATAACATATCGTATATGATTTATTCTTTTGATACTGGTTAATGTTATATTACAGTTGTATTTGCATTGATTATACACCAATTTTATACTTAGTATTTGCGTAACTAATCTCTTAAGTTTAAAACTAACCCCTGGCTCGCAATATCAGAAACCTTAAAATTGAACTAAGTTAAATTTTTTTAATGCTTATAATGTAAAAAGAAATAATTTTTATAATAATGGTTTAACAAATTAAAGGGAAAACATTACTTTTGAATCATTTGAATAAAATGGTTCTCGGTCCGAGGCATTTAACACAATCGTTTAAAAATACAGGAAATATTGAAAAAGTGTCAGCACCAGTAGTAAATCACAGGTACTTGTGAAATCCAAGTAAATTGTACAGAGAATATTTGCTCCAGTCAGTATTTGCTACTTTTCAGATGTCAAGCCGTAAATATTGACAAAGTTTTTTTCATATCAATAAGTGTGAATACGTACATGTATGAGTTCTTACCCCCTGCTATGTTACGCTTATAGATATTTTCTTCAACTCTGTAACGAAATAAGGTTGCTTCTCCTCGATATAGATTACTGTCAAAGGCGGATCCAGGGTCGGCGCGCCGGGCGTGTGCCCCCCCCCCCCTTTTGAATATTTTGTATGTAGAACTTATATGTTCATTTTCCTAAAATAAAGGAAAAACATCTCTTATTTGTAAGAATTTGTCAGCTTCCGGGGGCTTCCCCCCGGAAAACCCCACCAGGGCTTTGCCTTAGACCCACTGGGGGTTTCAATGCAGCCCCCAGACCCCATGCCTCCTACTGCGCCTCCCTGTTACGAAATTCCTGGATCCGCCACTGACTTCCAATTATTAGTAAAATGAAATTGCTTGAGCTGTGGAGAATTTAATGATGAAAAACTAGAACTACAGAGCTAGCCAAAATTTTAAATATTGCCTATAAATCGCTCCGATAGAAAACTTATTGCATTACATTAAGCAATTCATTGGGTAAATCTTAGTATGTTGTGACAAAGATCGTCTTTTGACAATGTTTACTTAAGCTTCCCAGTTTTTGGGTATCCTTCGCAATCCAGTTGTAAAATTGTTAAGAATACTCAAAAATCGTCTGAATTCATATTTGTATTTGTGGTGTACGGTGTAATATATATTAAGTAGCTTTGTTTATCTACAGAAAAAGACTGAATTCATATTTATTCTTGTTGCTTTCTTCAAATGTAATACTTGTGATTTTTTCTTTGAAGAACATTGCTAGCCCTCACTATTTAACAGGTATCCAAATAACAGAGTGAATGAGTGTTTTATATAGCTGAAAGAATGACGATGATTTTTTATGTATCCTGAAAAAACTCACTGTTTATGAAGTGTTTTTAATCTTATCAATTTTTAAAAAGCTAAAGCGCATGTTTCCATATATTCTCTGCTTTTGGCATTTCTTTACAGTATATTTCAGTTTTTCTCTTTAGAGACGAGAGTTTGAACAAATTAAACAAAGTAAACAGTAATTCAGCCTCTCGGCAACAACTTACATTTGTGATGCACGGTGTTCTGTCATTCTATCAATGGGGAATTCTGTAAATATAGAATAAGCATTCCATTTCTCAGATAACTTTATTTAAAGTGTGACATTTGTTAAATTGATAAGAGTGATTAAAAAAAGTACGATGTTCCTTTTACTATGAAATTTAAAATCTGAAGTAATAGATGGCCTAAATTGAGAAACCATGCATATTTTACTTCAGTGCACTCCATTTAGAGATAATTTAAGGAGTACTTTAATCGAAACTCACTCAAAATAAAGTCGTAAAGTTTTGTGTAGTGATAGTTAAATGCAGATAATCAATACCTAATCATAATTTGGCTTTATCATGGTAATTATGACAAAATGTGAACTAACTTCAATGAGAATAATTATTTGTTCAATTCCTTCTAATTTATGCAGCCTTGGTATACTTTTTTTTTCATATTATTTAAACAAAACATTTTTTAGATGATGCTAAATCACGATTAGACACAAAAGTATTAAATTATGACCACTTTTCCGCTAAAAACAGTATAGAAGTCTTTCCATAGTTTAGATCTTACCTTCATCACTTGCAAAAGAAAAAGTTGAGAAAAATAGTGTGTTGGAATTTTATACTGACTAAAGGATTGACATCCTTCCTGTATGATATTTCATAAACAGCCAGCGAAACGACATTTTTATTTTTTACTTAGGCTTAGAATGTTTTTCTGACCTACAAGTAAAAAAAAATATAGAGTTACAACGATCAATTTTAGTGCATATCAATCATCAATAATGAGTCTCGATATCCTTTTCCACAATATAATAAATATTTTTTACACATGAAATATGAAGATAACGACCAGTATTCAATGTCAAAATTCCATTGAAACAATACAAGTTCTGAGCAGAGTAAACACAGAATTCCAAAAATATAAGAGATGGGATCAGGTGCCATGGCGGAGTAAGCATCGTGCTGGTGATCGGTCACACCCGCCGTGTGCTCTTTGTCATGATCGAGCAAAAAATAAATTCCTTAGACAATTCAGTGTGAAAATAATGACTTAGCACTTTAAATGAAAAAACATCGGTCAATATTCGACTTAACGATAGATTGTATTTGCAGACAAGGTCATTGTATAAACCATAGAATTTGCGAACTGAGGACTCTAAACAAGACTGTAGATATCCTTTTATCATCAGCTTATTTGTTAATAGCTTGCCTCGTTAAATAGTTTTTACGTAGAACATACTCTTGAGCATCAAATCAACTGGGAGACACAAACTCCATATGCAGATGATAGTGATATATTGCTACATAAATAAGAGAAGGTGACGAGAGGAATGTTAAAGTCAGTCCGTTTATCATAAACTTTTGTTATTTTGTTTGTCCTTTTCTAGAAATTTTCACTCATATTGAGATGTCACCACTTGCCGTTGGGGGGCTGCAAATATAGACCTATGCTAGGCACTCAGGGCCATTGGGTAGTGAGGAATCATTATCGTGCCAGCACCTACTACGACACGGGACCTTGGTTTATATGAGCTCATCCGAAGGATCGGTCTCCACGTCCCGCAGTGGGATTCTAACCTGCGATGTAAAGATCAACTCCTTACTCAGCGACTCTAGAGAAACGCATTAACCACTGCGCCACGCGGGCGACTTTGTTATTTTGTGATTATTGTTCTTTCTAGTAAAATATCCGAATATGAAACGGAAGTTTCTGACTCTGTTGTGTCTTATTTCGAGTTCAAAGGGATATATCGAATCAATGTAAGAATAAAAATGAATATTGTTAATTGATAAAACGTCGACATATATATATATATATATATATATATATATATATATATATATATATATATATATATATATATATATATATATATATATATATATATATATATATATATATATATATCCCAGTGAGCTTGAAATAAAAGATACCACAGAGTCTGAAACATCTGTTTAATATTTGGACATTTTACCAGAAAAAGACGTTAATGGTAATCTAACAACCAAACTTTATGATAAACGTGTTGACTTTAACTTTTCAATCGTCAACTTCCCGTACTGATGCAGCAATATACCTTCATCACCTGCCTACGGGGTTTATATCTCTCGGTTGATTCGATCCGCAAGAGAATGCTCTACGTATGTACAATATCTAAAACGAGGTAAATTATTGACAAACAAGTTGAAGAAACAAGAAAATCAGCTGTCTCGTTTAAAGTCATCATTGCGTAAGTTCTATGGTCGATACAATGAACTTGTCATCAAATACAATTTATCATTTCATACTAATTGTTACGCCATTATTTACACAGTGAATTGTCGACGGATTTTTTCCGTTATTTTCCGATCATGACAAGGAGCACACGGCGGGTGTGACCGGTCGGCAGGGGATGCTCACTTCTCCATGGCACCTGATCCCACCTCTGATGATTTGGAGGTCCGCCGTGCTTGCTCTGCTCCTATTTTGTATTGTTCAATGGACTTTTGAGCTTGAATACTGTTCGTTATCTCCATATATTTCATGATAAAGATGATGTACCGGCCCACTATTGTAGAAGTCACCAGAATATTGAACTATAATACCAGATTTCCTGTAGAATATTTGGGGAGACCAAAAATTTCAAATACCATGGAAACAACCTGGAGATGATTGTGATGTTTCTTTGGTTTAATATTTTGTGAGATTTGTGTTTCTTGCGAATTTAATTCTATGAAGAAACAAAGAAGAAGAAAGTATTGTGAGATAAACCGTTGTTCTTCACTGAAGATGCCATATGCCATTAAGGAGCTCAGTTAATTGAAAGCCATTGTTGAAATCATCAAGTAAAAGTGCTGTACACTCCATGTAAATATTTTTTTTTGCAATGTTTGAGTGACTCATGCTAATTTTGATTAAGGTATACAAAATTTGTCTCAAAGCTTACAAGGGAAATCCCTTTCAATCAGTTTATATTATTATATGTTGTAGATTTTGTTGTTACACTGAAAAGTGTATATGATTATTTTAACTATTGAGCTCTACAATTCCAACAGCATTTTTTTTTTTTGTATTTTTTGTGTCAAGTTTTAGCATTATTTTATGCCTTCATATGAAAGAACAGGCAGCATTTAACAAACGACAAAATCAGAAATAATGATACAAGGTTAGTATAGGATTTTATTAATAACATGATGCATATCAACTTTTAACCTTGTTAATTGGCATTTTTATTGAAATGAACTGGTTAATTGGTAGGTTCTTGTTAAAAGTGACAAGCCATTGTGCTATCATATCTTAATGCTTAATTCAGCTTGAATGTACTTGAATGGAAGAATTTATTTATAAAACTGTTTCTAATTAATTTTATTTTGTAAAACAAGGAAACTGTTTTTATAATGAGTATTATATCATGTGTTCAAGTTGAAATGTCAGTGAACAGCTTTGTTAGGAAAAAATCATTATGTTGATTATAAATGTTGCATCTTGTGCATTAACGTTTTTTATTTAAAAATGAGAAAGACAAGTTGAATTGTCCCTATGTAATTTTTTTACAGCAGTTAAGGAAGCTAATGCTTGTGTAAAGGGAGATAATGATTATATATGTTATTTCTGGATATCCTCATACATTTTTCCCACTCCATATTAAGTGAGGGGTTTAAATAAATTTAAGACAAACGTGAAACAAAGAGATGATAAACATAACCTTTTACAATTTTCTCTTGATTTAAGTTTTAGACATTAGAGATGGTTGATTTTCTGAAATTTACACCTACATCACTTTCTAATCACAGTAGAAAATTGCAAGAAGCTTTTAAAAATTTAGTAAAAGTGCTGAACACCTGGCTGAGGCGTGAGAGGTATTAGGGTGAATTTTTAGATGCATGAGGAATCAGCAGAGCCCACAGGTGACCAGTGGTGCCAGAGACCACCTGGATGTTTGTTTTTCATTTCTTTTTCCTTTTTCGTCAGGACCGGGACCACAGTGAAACTCGGGATCGTCACAGAAAGGTGAGTCAAAATTTTGTGAGTCAAAAAAGATAGATAATAATTTGAATACAACTGGTTCTTCAGTCTTATAGGGCAATGCACCTAACTACTTGTCTGGTACAATTTGAACTTGTACAAAGTAATTTAATTGGCCATCTATCATGTATATCTGTCAGCATTTTTGTTTCTAAATCATTTGTTTTCTTAGCCTATTCTTATTTTGTGAAGGGGGTTGGGGTGTTCACGTGTTTTTATGCCCCTGTAATTGAAGATTGGGGGGGGGGGGGGTATAGTTTTCTTGGCATGTATATCTGTCCCAAAAACATTTAACTTTGTCCATAACTTTTGATTTTGTGGAGCTATTGCTTTCATATTTCTTGTGCATTCCGTGTGGAAAGATCTTCCTTTGGTTACCAACATATTTAACTTTTTGACCTTGGAATTGACCCATTTTAGCAAACAATTTCATACTTCAGTGACAAGACTTTTCCACAGGTATTAAAATTTTGACCTTGACCTTAGAGTTTGAGCAACTTTTAAAAAAAATTAACCTTGGACATAACTTTTGAACAGTTAGTAGAAGGGTTTTCGTATTTCCTAGGTGTGACAGGACAATATAAAAGCCCTAGACCAACTGTTCAAAAGTTTTGACCATGGTTAAAAGTTTATCAAAAGTAGGTCAAGCTCTTAGGTCAAGGTCAAAAGGCGAAAATTGTTGGTATCCAATGGATGGTCTTATAGGTAAACACCTGTGAAATGTTAAAACCCTAGTACTAAATGTTCAAAAGTTAAGGTCAAAGGTGAAGATTTTCAAAAGTAGGTCAAGTGTCAAGGTAAAAAATTATTGGTATCCAATGGAAGGTCTTGTCACAAGGAATACATCTGTGAAACAAACGCCCTAGTTCTAACTGTTCAAAAGTTAAGGCCAAGATACAAGTTTTTTAAAAGTAGGTAAAACTCTAAGGTCAAGGTAAGGAGATTAGAAATAGCTATTCCTATGGAAAGGTCATAATGAATACACATGTGAAGAATGTTGTGTCCAAGACTAAAGTTTGGTAAATTTTTGCAGAAGTGGGTCAAACTCCAAGGTCAAGAGGTGAAATATGTTGGTACCCCCAAAAAAAGTCTTGTCACAAGATTAAATATGTGAAATATGAAAGCCATAGTTCCAACCAATCAAATGTTATAGGCAAGGTTAACGTTTTGGCAGAAAAAAAGACAGACAGACAGGGCAAAACTACATGCCCCCGAATCTTTGACTACAGGGGCATAAAATTTGCTGTTTGACATAATGTTCTGACCCAGGAATAGGTAACAGTGCCTGGATGTTGTATATTCGATTTAATTTATTTAAGTTATTGACCAATTAAGGGCCTTCAAGGGCCAAAAACAGAGTGCATTGTAAATACTCGTATATAGTCATATACTTGTGATACGATTTGCAAATAAACAAGAGAGAAAGAGTTACATGATTGAATGGGGAAAACAGGGATAACAAATCATATAATATCTATACATTACATAAGTTCTGTGCAAAACTAGTAGTATTTGGTTATATATATGCATTATCTATATGCATTCATATTTATATCAAACACATAAAAGTTCTATTATATAATTGATCATGATGCAAGAGTATGTCTGTGGGTCCATTTTGTCTTTATCAAAAATTCATATGATTCATAGTCAGAAATTCTGTGTAATTCACATACATAGGTAGACATATCGCAAATTCTTAACTCTTTTTTTTTCTTTAGTAAACATTTTGCGTTTAAATATATCATATAAAAATATGCTACATATAAATTACATTACAATTAACGTCTCATTTTTGAAATAATTTTGTTTTAGATATACAGCTTCTGTGGATTAATTATTCTTTTAGTAAATACATAATTTGTTTATTTCAATACAAAACGACAATTTTATTACTAATTTAAAATATTTCGATTTGTATCGTGACAAAGTTTATCGTGAAACATATTGATTTACAAAAGATATCGTCCGAGCCCTAGAAAAATTAGGGGGGGGGGGGGGATCAGACTACTCAGATTTTTAATGGGCAGTGTCCAGTGTGTTAAATTCATTTTCAAATTGACATAGTATTTGTTTGAGATCACGAGATTCTCTCTCTCTCTCTCTCTCCCATCAAATCATTCCCAACCAATATCTTGAGAACCCTTTGTTTCATATACTTCAATACTTATATGTTTACTTAACTTTGGAAAAATGGCTTACTAGTTTATTTTTAGGTCAATGTCATTCAAATTGCAACTCTACCTACAATTTTGCCCCCCCTCCCCCCCCCAAAAAAAAAAGATTTAAAAAAATGTAGACAAGATGACTAAGATAATTCTAATAATCTCAATAATAAATGATCCTTAAGATAACTTAATAATGTAATTGAAGGCTTTTGATTTTGACGATGCCTTTAAAGGGCAGGACACGGTTTTAATATTTTTATCCATAAAAAAAAAAATCGAGCAAAGCTTCATACATTACATGCTGCAAGAGCGTTTCAGGTTGATATAAAAGTGTGATTAAGAACTTTTTATTTGATAATTTTAAAAGGTACAAAGATGGGCGTGTTTGGCAAATATCCTTACTCTTAATTCATAATTAATATTAACGAACGGTAAGAAATTTGTGGTGTATTGATGGAAGATATGAAAAAGTCGAAGAAAGCAAAATCAACACACAAGTGTAACCCGTTTGGGTTCAATTACGAGTACAGTGTTCGCCAATCAAAAAAGGGCACCGCAATGCGCAGCATCCTCTCACACATATACATACAGTATACGCAAAAGTAAGCATTCATTTCTTTAAAATATAGTCAGACGTTTTCTGATTGGTTTCATTGATTTCTTGTATTGTTACACAGTTCCTTATTGTCGAAAGTAAAATTAGATTGTTTAAACTGTACATCAGGTACCCGGTATATGACCCTGTTACTGTTTTGATTAACATCGAAAGGTGCAGGAAAACTAGTTGTGTAGCATTATCTCCCATTTCAGTTTAACAAGTATATTGCCAACTGTTCATCTTGAGGAATAAAAAAGGTTTTAATTATTGTATAGAATTGGCCATATAGAGTTAACATTGTATAGCAATTTATAATTATTATTGGACAGAGTCACCCATGTTGTGTGACATCTATATTGTACAGAGTCGCCCATAGCCTTTATCTGCTGGTATATATTATGTCAGTATGTCAACCTTAACCCTTCCGGTCGACGGGGGATGCTTACTTCTTTTAGGTACCTGATCCCATCTCTGTTTCTGCGTGGTTTCCGGGGGTCTATGTTTTTGCCCTAATCACGATTCGCTTTGTTTACTGGATTTAGTGAATTTATGAGATTGATCAGTGTTTGTATCTTTACATTTTATCTTGTATTACATGGAGCTGCCAAAGTTGATTTTAGGAAAATGTAAGACAATTCGTAAATTTTCAGTCACCGACATTAAGTTGAACTGTCATATAAAAGCTTTTTCTGGTATTGCAAGGTGGTCCCCTTGTAGAGTATATATGATAATTTCCAAGTATTGTGCGTAGTCGCATACTAACTCTAACGTATTGCGCAGAGTCGCCCATGTTGAGTTTTTCATACTGTATAAAATCATACCCTAACAACTTGTGTATATTGTACAGAGTCCATCAAATGAGAGAGAACGCGAGAGTAAGGACAGAAAACGGATGAGTCTGGTAAGGTCCTTACAGTTAGAGACAGGTTTCTATTTCAAAATTAGAACGCTTTTACTAATGACTAGAGCTTCTTATTTATCAACAGATTTCATTTTTTCTATGTAATACTAGGACAATCTTTTCAAACAAAAATAACTTTTTTTTAATTCGGGGAAGTTTATCATTTTGTAGCATAAAAGAGCTAATGCAAGGCATTGTTAAACGTTTGTTGAATTGTACTTCGTATTTATATGATAAATGTTAAACAGAAGTATAAAAAAATTGGTCTAGGGCTTTTATATTGTCCTGTCACAAGGTGTTTGTTCAGAAAGATCAAAGAAAGTGTAAACTACATACTTTAGGCATGCTGGGAATTCGCCCGCATATCGAGGTGTTTGAAGCGTTTGCCCTAAGAGTCGTTGAGTAAGGAGTTGATTCTTACGTCGCGGGTTCGTATCCCACTGTGGGACGTGGAGACCGGTCCTTCGGATAAACTGAAGTTCCGTGTCGCAGTAGGTGCTGGCGCGAAAAAGATCCCTCACTGCTCAATGGCCCTGAGTGCTGAATATAGGTCAAAATGTGCAGCTCTCCACCGGCAAGTGGTGGCGTCTCCATATGAGTGAAAAATTCTCTAGAGGGACGTTAAACAACAATAAACATACAAACAACTCTGGAAAAATTAAATCTAAACTACTACTAGAAACTAATTGCATCTTCAAAATTTTGATTTTTTTCTTTTTTACACCAACGCCGTCTGTATGTTGTCATGTCTGGAGTCTTTTAGTTTGAGGTGTAACGTGCTGATCTAGATATCAAGGACTACTTAGACGTTACGTTTAAAAATCCGGAAGACGTATTTACCACTTTGTAAACTAAATGGGTGAATTTAAAAGTTTCCTTCATACTTTTGTTCGATGCTTTTGTATTCAGACTGTATATAATTGCAGTTAAAAAGGATCCTGCTGGGAATTACTTTTTTATTCAAAGACTTAAAATTCAAAAGAATGCATATATTTAAAAAGATAGCCTAATATTAATAAAACACTTTCACCCATTTAAGTATTACCAGATTTGATATATTTTATTTTTTCCTATAAATTTAGCTTAAGATTATTTTGTAAATTAGCAAGTAATTTTAAATGGTAGACGTAATTTAAACTGATTCTGTTTCCTGTGCATTTTCTACGAACAGTGCGAATCACACACCAAACATGATTACAAATATTAAGCAATATATATTGTTTCGAATCGTTATTTAATAATTATGACAATGTTCACAGTTTGATATATTTACCCTTTTCATTTAATACCTTGACTTTATTTGGACATCAACACATCAGACAAGGATATATTAACAGTATTTTAGGAAAGATTTCTTCGACTCAAAGTGAAATACTTCCTCAAGTGTATATTGGACCGCTCATTTCTCCAATCATATGTTTAAATACACTCCATAGCAATGCATAGATTTTCAATTCATTAAAAAGTATATACATTACTTAGTTCTAGTACGTCTACATCTCTACATAATTATTAAACCAGATCTATCATAGCAGCCACATTTTTGGGAGTAGTAAGAATTTTGCTCAAGGTTTTACTTCGTTTCAAATTGAAAATCCAGGTAGATATATAAATGTCATCATTTTCATGACCTCTCATCGTATTTGAAGAGAAGTGATGCCAGAAATGAAAGCTTGATTCACAATTTAGATTTCAATTCTAAAGAATGATAAATTATTCTATAAATCAACAGACAAATGATTAACTTAAACTGAAATTTACGTGGAGTAGACGAGTATAACGCCCATAGGTAGCCTTTTCTCTCACTAATCACGTCATCTAAAGTTAAGCTTTGATTTTTAAAAAAAATAACACTTGCGTGTCCGTGAATCATTTGTACTAACTTAGAATCTTTCTGATATATCAATGCAGATCCATTATCAAATTTTTATTTTTTCAGGATTATCCCGACGGAGCAAGTGAGGGAGAAACAAAGAGACGTAGAAGTGTAGAACCTCAGCATAGTAAGTTTAACTTAACTAATGTAGAAACAAACACAATGTACACAGAAGTGTAGAACCCCAACGCAGTAAGTATAAATTAACTGGTGTAGATACATACACAAAGTAAATTAAAGTGTAGAACCCCAACACAAAGTAAACGGAAGTGTTGAACCTCAGCACAAAGTAAACTGGTGTAGAACCTTAGCACAAATTAAACTGAAGTGTAAAACCCCAACACAAAGTAAACTGAATTGTAGAACCCCAACACAAAATAAACTGAAGTGTAGAACTTCAACAATGTAAACTGATGTGTAGAACCCAACACAAAGTAAACTGATGTGTAGAACCCCAATACAAAATAAACTGAAGTGTAGAACCCCAACAAAAAGTAAACAGAAGTGTAGAACCTCAACACAAAGACAAGGGAAGTTAAGAACCCCAAACACAAAGAAAACTGAAGTGTAGAACCCCAACACAAAATAAACTAAAGTGTAGAACCCCAACACAAAGTAAACTGCTGTGTAGAACCTCAACACAAAGAAAATGGAAGTTTAGAACCCCAAACACAAAGAAAACTGAAGTGTAGAACCTCAACAAAAAATAAACTGAACTGAATTGTAGAACCCCAACACAAAGTAAACTGAAGTGCAGAACCCCAACACAAAGTAAAATAAATTGTAGAACCCCAACACAAAGTAAACTGCTGTGTAGAACCTCAACACAAAGTAAACTGATGTGTAGAACCCCAACACAAAATAAACTGATGTGTAGAACCCCAACACAAAATAAACTAAAGTGTAGAACCCCAACTCAAAGTAAACTGATGTATAGAACCTCAACACAAAGTAAACTGAAGTGTAGAATCCCAACACAAAATAAACTGAAGTGAGAACCCCAACTCAAAGTAAACTGATGTGTAGAACCTCAACACAAAGTAAACTGAATTGTAGAACCCCAACAGAAAGAAAAGTGAATTGTGGAACCTCAACACAAAGTAAGCTGATGTGTAGAACCCCAACACAAAATAAACTGATGTGTAGAACCCCTACTCAAAGTAAACTGCTGTGTAGAACCTCAACAAAAAGTAAACTGAAGTGTAAAACCCAACACAAAGTAAACTGAAGTGTAGAACCCCAACACAAAATAAACTGAAGTGTATAACCCGAACACAAAGTAAACTGATGTGCAGAACCCCAACACAAAATAAACTGAAGTGTAGAACCCCAACTCAAAGTAAACTGATGTGTAGAACCTCAACACAAAGTAAACTGAAGTGTAGAACCCCAACACAAAATACCATGAAGTGTAGAACCCCAACACAAAGTAAACTGATGTGTAGAACCTCAACTACAAAGTAAACTGATGTGTAAAACCTCAACACAAAGTAAACTGAAGTGTAGAACCCCAACACAAAGTTAACTGATGTGTAGAACCTCAACACAAAGTAAACTGAAGTGTAGAATCCCAAAACAAAGTAAACTGATGTGTTGAACCTCAACTACAAAGTAAACTGATGTGTAGAACCTCAATACAAAGTAAACTGATGTGTAGAACCTCAATACAAAGTAAACTGATGTGTAGAACCTCAACACAAAGTAAACTGAAGTGTAGAGCTCCAACACAATAAAAGTAAACTAAAGTGTTGCACCTCAACAAAGTAAACTGAATTGTAGAACCCCAACACAAAGTAAACTGAAGTGAAGAACCCCAACACAAAGTAAAATTAATTGTAGAACCCCAACACAAAGTAAACTGCTGTGTAGAACCTCAACACAAAGTAAACTGATGTGTAGAACCCCAACACAAAATAAACTGATGTGTAGAACCCCAACACAAAATAAACTAAAGTTTAGAACCCCAACACAAAATAAACTGAAGTGAGAACCCCAACTCAAAGTAAACTGATGTGTAGAACCTCAACACAAAGTAAACTGAATTGTAGAACCCCAACAGAAAGAAAAGTGAATTGTGGAACCTCAACACAAAGTAAACTGATGTGTAGAACCCCAACACAAAATAAACTGATGTGTAGAACCCCTACTCAAAGTAAACTGATGTGTAGAACCTCAACACAAAGTAAACTGAAGTGTAGAACCCCAACACAAAGTTAACTGATGTGTAGAACCTCAACACAAAGTAAACTGAAGTGTAGAATCCCAAAACAAAGTAAACTGATGTGTTGAACCTCAACTACAAAGTAAACTGATGTGTAGAACCTCAATACGAAGTAAACTGATGTGTAGAACCTCAATACAAAGTAAACTGATGTGTAGAACCTCAACACAAAGTAAACTGAAGTGTAGAGCTCCAACACAATAAAAGTAAACTAAAGTGTTGCACCTCAACAAAGTAAACTGAATTGTAGAACCCCAACACAAAGTAAACTGAAGTGAAGAACCCCAACACAAAGTAAAATTAATTGTAGAACCCCAACACAAAGTAAACTGCTGTGTAGAACCTCAACACAAAGTAAACTGATGTGTAGAACCCCAACACAAAATAAACTGATGTGTAGAACCCCAACACAAAATAAACTAAAGTGTAGAACCCCAACTCAAAGTAAACTGATGTATAGAACCTCAACACAAAGTAAACTGAAGTGTAGAACCCCAACACAAAATAAACTGAAGTGAGAACCCCAACTCAAAGTAAACTGATGTGTAGAACCTCAACACAAAGTAAACTGAATTGTAGAACCCCAACAGAAAGAAAAGTGAATTGTGGAACCTCAACACAAAGTAAGCTGATGTGTAGAACCCCAACACAAAATAAACTGATGTGTAGAACCCCTACTCAAAGTAAACTGCTGTGTAGAACCTCAACAAAAAGTAAACTGAAGTGTAAAACCCAACACAAAGTAAACTGATGTGTAGAACCCCAACACAAAATAAACTGAAGTGTATAACCCGAACACAAAGTAAACTGATGTGCAGAACCCCAACACAAAATAAACTGAAGTGTAGAACCCCAACTCAAAGTAAACTGATGTGTAGAACCTCAACACAAAGTAAACTGAAGTGTAGAACCCCAACACAAAATACCCTGAAGTGTAGAACCCCAACACAAAGTAAACTGATGTGTAGAACCTCAACTACAAAGTAAACTGATGTGTAGAACCTCAACACAAAGTAAACTGAAGTGTAGAACCCCAACACAAAGTAAACTGAAGTGTAGAACCTCAACACAAAGTTAACTGAAGTGTAGAATCCCAAAACAAAGTAAACTGATGTGTTGAACCTCAACTACAAAGAAAACTGATGTGTAGAACCTCAATACAAAGTAAACTGATGTGTAGAACCTCAATACAAAGTAAACTGATGTGTAGAACCTCAACACAAAGTAAACTGAAGTGTAGAGCTCCAACACAATAAAAGTAAACTAAAGTGTTGCACCTCAACAAAGTAAACAGAAGTGTAGAACCCCAAATACAATCAAAGTAAGCTGGAGTATGAAACCCAAACAGAGTAAATCAAAATAAATTGAAGTATAACAAAGTAAGTCAAAGTAAACTGAAGTACAGGACCCCAACAATGTCAAAGTAAACTGCATTGTAGAACAACACACTGTCAAAATAAACTGAAGTAAAGAACTTCAACAGAGTCAATATAAACTGAAAAGGTGGAACCCCCAACACAGTTGGGTGAAAATAAATAGAAGTGTTGATCCTCAACTTAGAGGGTCAAATTAAATTGAAGTGAAGAACCCCAATAAGTCAAAATAAGCTGAGGTGTAGAATCTCAACTCAACCAAAGAAAGCAGTCAAACACGGTCAAATTAAGTCAAATTCTAGAACCCTAACAGGCAGACTAATATGAACTGAAGTATAGATAAGTCAAAATAAACTGAAGTGTAGATAAGTCGAAATAAACTGAAGTATAGATAAGTAAAATAAGCTGAAGTGTAGAACCTCAACGGAGTAAGTCAAAGAAACTCAAGTAAGGAAACCAATCACTGTAAGAAAGAATGAACTGAAGTATAGAATTTCAAGATAGCAATAAAATACAACACAGCAAGTCAAATCAAACTGAAAAGAAAATTGACTCGGTAAGTATGTATATCATGCAACATTGTATGTTTCAGGAAAAAGAAAGAAAATAATTTTTTATCTTTGCAACCTATTCTTAGTTCTTTTATGTGTATATTCTTCTAATAGCTGTCTTAAATTTTCATATAACTGCCATGTTTTTCGTAGCTCATTCCAGTTCAAAGATAAATGGAGATTCCGATAAACATCACAGCAAACGTGACCAGTCCAGGGATAGACTAGACGGCCATGTTAAAATTAAGGTCAAGGTTAGCAGAAGATCTATAAAACCATTCAACCCAGTACATATTGTTAATTATTATTATCAATCTTTATTTTCATTGAAAGTTCCTAATTGTGTGCAATGCAAATGAAACGGCCGATAAATCATGCTTCTTGTTGCGATTTCTAAAGTTAAAGAAAAAGGTTCATTTCTATTATAAAAGAAAGTAAATGTTCCTATTTGTAATTTTTTAAAAAAAGTTCTTGCTCTAAATAGAAAAATGCAAAAGAGAATTAAACATTGGTGTTGTTTTAACTTGTATTTTTAACTTTGTTTTAAACAGGAGGAACCAACAGATGATTCCCAACAAAAGTCAAAATCAAAAGACAAAAGTAAAACCAAAGAAAAAACAAGGGACAAATCGTATCCTTCTTTACAACTAGATCAAAGTTCAGAAATTTTGGTTTGCAAAAATGTTCATTCAATACTTTAAAAACGAAATTGAAAATGAATAGATAAAAATGTTTTCTTTTTTCACTATATGGGTACTTTGTATTCTTTTTTATTTCTATCTAATATATTGTGATCTTGTTTTCTTTAACCAACAGCAGATCAAGTTCATCTAAGAAGAGTAAGAAATGATACTTATGTGCTTATAAAGTACAAGAAGTGCTATGGAACAAACAAATGGAGGGAACTCCAATATCACAAAGACGGATAAATGACGTCATCCTTTTTTTTCTTTCTGAAATACAGAAATGTTTTATTGATGGAGGATGAAACATATTTTTATAAACTTAAAAATCATGTTCAGTGATATATGTCTAGAAACTTCTGTTTTATTCGTAGAATGAAGTACAGTAAACATTGATTAAAACATACATACATACATAAGAGTAATGCTCTTGTCTTCATATAATTTATGAGTGTCATCATTATTTATAAAGGTTGATCCTTACGAAAACTTAATGAAAAAAATAAGGTCGTTTTCGGAGGTGTTTCAGTGAATTTTAATATCATAAATTTTCATGGGGAAGAAGAATATTTAGTGTCTATTATGTTTCTTTGCAATTTGCCATGACATCGTAATGAATCTTCAGACCTGCCTACCCTTTCGTTTTTGGCCTTTCTCTTAGTGTGGGACTTTGCCTTACTTAAAGACAACATTCATTGAGGTGAGCTCTGTAATCTGATTACCTATGTTTAAGGTCTCATCCGAAAGACCCGCAACTTTCACTTCAAAGAGCCGAGCGCTTGGCGAAGGAACAGTTGCTACCTATTTTTTTTTTATCGAGTTGGGTTTGTGCGGCCGAGGTTTGAACCCAAGGCCTTATAATCACTCTTACAAACTGAGCCATGGTGACGGTATAAAATTAGGCAGAAACACATGCTATTAATACAATGGAAAGATTGAATTAGTTTTAAGTTAACAACAAACGTCAATAAGAATGGAATTGTTTATTTACAAGATTAAATTGTTTGGATTTAAGGATGCCGATGCATTGCAGAACATAAAATATATGTTAATAAATGATACGAGAATAGTCCTTACGTTTTTATTTATGATATGAAACGTAGGGGTCTGATTTAGATTGTATTAAATCACAGTGAAACACGGAAATAGGAAAATTCGAAGAATTACGCCTCTGTCTATTTGATTCCACCAAATAAGGATATAGATTACTCCTCTGTATGAAAAGGGTAGGCACCTCTGTTTTCCACATAAAAGCATTGGCCTTTTAGAAATAACTTACTTCATAAAGGTATATGGTTCAGTTCTTGTATATGTGGGTGGTAGTTTGGAGTACAGAGGGGCATGTAATTAACCTACAACAAAATCCTTGTTAACCAAGAGGAAACTGTTACGAGATGATTCTAGCATTATGTACAGCAGATATCATAATGGTTTTTGAGTAAATAGCAAGTTAGACTTAACGTAAGAACTAGAATATGTGTCTAAATTGTCTTCATAAAATTGACTAAAATAAAGTCTGTAAAACAATATAATGATTCTTATTATTGTAGCAGTATGTATTTTATGGAGTGGATATTGTTCAAGTGATTGTTGATAGGAATATAGAGCAGCCTGGAAATTCCCATTGAACTGTTGACAGACTCCCAGAAACTGCCATGATATGTCTCTGAATAGTACAGGTAAATATATGTAATGGCCAGAGTGCACCAGGGCGTGTAAAGAAGATAAAACTGTTTTTGATTTCATTATGTCTACATGGCTGTAGCACAGAAATTCTAGTGCCTGAATAAGTACAAACAGTGGAATGTATAATGCACCCTGTCTATTTTGAAAATTGCACAATTGTTCAATCATTAATTCATTGATATAACAGAGATCAGTTTCAAGTGATGTAAAAAGTAATACTGCATGTCTAATCTTTAAAGAACAGGACTGGACCCTTACGTCACTGTGACGCTCTGCTATATGTGTATAAAATAAACACATCTGATGTGGATATGCTAATTTCGACTTTAACATTTCTATAACAGATAGAGCCTCGATGTATCTTAATGTCTTGTAATGAAACATTATGAAATGAAATAAAACTTGACTGCCAATTTAAGCATGTAGCAAGACATTTTGTCAGCAATGTACCTCCGTTTGTTTCCATCTGTGTTGTTGTGCATACTGTGCAATATATAAGCAGTTCTCCGAAGGATCAATGCCGTAAGAGTTTGCCAGATCACAACATAATACATTGTCAAGTGAGAACTTAGAAATCGATCTACTGTGCGCAGGGCCTTCACGCTGTTGATTAGGTTTTTGGGAACGACTTTACTTTACCGGTCCCAAGAAAAACGCGCTAAACTATAGTGTCGCCGTAGGCGACTTCAGTATATATATGAGATCGCGTGAGCGATCGAAAAAAAATTAAAATATGAGGTTTTAAGCCTTTTTGACCCCAAAATCGAATTCTACGGTGAAAGGTTTAGTTTAAAACTTCGTTTTTAAACGAAGTTTTTAACCTCGTTCTCTGAAAAAAGTAATAAATATTATTTATACAGTGAAAAGGAGACAAAAAATAATTGTGAACGAAGCGCGTGCGGCGCATGCTTAGTGCCGTTTCTTTCGTACTTAGCCATTTTTTTTCATGTAAACAAACCAACGAGATGTCGTTGAAGCTCAACAAAGAACTTGCAAAAATACAGATGCAAATGAATTTCTTAATTAATCTAAAAGAACAAGACACTGACCCTAATCTCTCGGATGGTATACGAGGACTTACCCAAATCTCCAAGGCGGATGCTAAACCATGCTAGACTAACCCATGTGCGAGGACTAACCCTAATCTCTCGGATGGATGCGAGACTAACCCTAATCAGTCGAAAACTTATGCAAGGACTCACCCTAATTTTTCAGGTGGGTGCAAGACTAACCCTAACCAGTCGAAAAATGTGCAAAATCAACCCTAATCAGCTGAGTGACGTAAATCTTACGTCATAGTGCAATGAGCGCGCGGATCTTGCGGATCTGGGGACCGGTAAAATAAGGTCTAGCCGGTTTTTGATGTAAGATGCATTAGTATTGGATATCTCAACGAGCATTTCCTCATGAAAGGTATTTTTAGAAGTAACATTCCTTTCAAGTATACCAATAAAGAGTGTAGGATTATAAAGGATATTTATAATAAAGAACTTGATAGAAGGACTCTGCAGGAGACAGGATACACCCTTTTCATATAATGTATACAGTGGTAAAAATAAAATCAATTGTGCTTCACCATGGATATTACTCAAAAACATGTTTTGCGGAATGAAAAAATTTTGGACAAACCTCTTCATACACCCATTGAAGAATGAGTTTAAAGCAGATCCAGAAACCCTCAAGGAAATTTTGTGGACACCAGTTAGACAATAGGTTTTGTTGAAGTGCCCAGAAAACTGCTGTTTTCATATGATAAGAACAAAGTAATTTATCTTCAGCACTTACACTATTGTTAATTACTTCTTTCAAGTACACTTTCAATAAAGCGTAAATTAAAAATTGACAGTGATTCATTGAGTACACAAAATTTTGTTCTGCCAGAGAAAAAGAAATTCTCCATTCTTTGTCTTTATGATTACCTAGCTTGTGTCCTATTGCTAAAAAGTGACATCCATTTTTGACGATAGCACGGACAACTGGAGAATGGGGCCATGAATGGCATCTGTCGATCCACGAGGAGGCTAATGGAGGCCAAAAGTCACTGACAAAACAGTGGGCGTGATCAAATTCTAGCAGTGATACATTTCCGCTACTGCACGGCCCATGTATAATCGAATCTGGACATGATAACAAACCAATGATCAGTCTTTAAAAATAACTAGATATATAAAGGCTGTTATTCATTCTGACACACGCTAACTGAATAGCTATGTCGGCTCTTGGTGTAAGTAACTGCAGTAGAGTAAATCCTGGTGGACTATCAGAGCTATCAGTAAGAATCAGTACTTGTCTCCGGGGCATGTACGTTATATATAATGCCTAGTCTGAGACAAGTCCCAATCACTCGGTACACTTCAGGCTATCGCATCTAAATCAGATCCCGAATCCCTCTCTTTTACTTCCACTCATTATCGTGCAGGTCTGGCTACCTGTCCTTGCTTGATTCAATATCAAGCCACGGATGTCTGCCATATCTCAGCAAAAATTCGCTACATCTCTTACTTTTATTATCATTAGGAGTCCGGTTTTAATTCTAGGCAATACTCAGCAATTGAAATTTAGCTGAAAAATGACGATACAAGATAGTCGGGATAAGGGACAGTGATTGATCTCCCAAAAAGATCTATTAACAATGCAAATTTGTGAACAGGGCATAAAGACGGAGCCCCAGAAATTCCAGAATTGGGATCAGGGGCCTAGGGAGAGTAAGCATCCCCTGTTGACCTGTCACATCCGATGTGAGCTCTATGTATTGACCAGACAGAAGGAACATTCCGTAGTCAAATTTAGTATAAAACAAGGGCCTTACAATTGGATGAAACACGTCAGCCAAAATACGACCCAGTGATTGGCTATAATTGTTAAGAAGATCATTATAACGACCAAAGAATTTACAAAATGCTGACTTTAAACGAGGCTTTTGAAATGACTCTAACAATAAATTATCTGTCAGTAGCATGCCTCGGTTTAAAAACTGATTACTCAAAGCATGCTCTTGAGTATCAAATATATTGGGAGACGTAAACACTATACACTTGATAGCGGAAAATTACTACATAAAGTTGACAATGGAAAAGCTGAAGTCATCTCGTTTGTCATACAGTTTAATTTTTAATTTGCCCTCATCATTTTTAATCGGTAGAACATCCAAATATGAAACATGTAAGTGGCATAGTCTGTAATGTCTTTATTACAAGTTCACTGGGATATATCGAGTCGACATATGAATGGAAGTTACTATTGTTAATTGATAAAATGTCGTTGATATATCTGAAAGTCGAGTTGAAGGCCACGGCAAGTTCCTTCTTCTTATGTAGAAGTTTTTTTTAAAATTAATTCTGCTTCATAGAATCAGGTCGGCTAATAAAGGAGCATAATTAGTGTCTATCGAAATTCCAACAATTTGTTGAAAGACCTGGTCTCCGAAGACTACATTAATGTTGTCAATGAGGACTCCAGCATCCTAGTCTGGTACGGATGAAAAAAAAATCAAATAATCCATTTGTGTATTGTCTATAATTTTTTAGAAGAGAAGAAAAGATGGTGCATTTTATTGTTA